TGTCGCCTTCTGCTGCTCTGGTTGCGTCGCACCGCGACGAGAAACAGTTGATGATTTTGAGGCTGCCAGACCTCGAGGCCCTTCACGTAGGCGGAGGGTTTAGGGTTTAGGGTTTAGGGTTTAGAGTGTAGGCTTTAGGGTTTGGATATTAGGGCTTGGGGTTTAGGGTTTAGGGTTTGCCACGGGCTAGTTGAAAACCCGCAGTGCAAGCAACAGGAGCAGCAATACCAGCTGCAGCAGCAGCAGCAGCAGCAGCAGCAGCATTGTAGTAGCTTGTATCAGAACACAAAGTGAGTAACGTCCGATACCGCAACGGCAGCAGCAGCAGCAGGTAAAAGCAAAAAAATAGTAGCAGCAGCAGCAGTAGTAGCAGCAGCAGCAGCAGCAGCAGCAGGCTCGTTTGCGCGCCCCTGTTTGCTGCAGGTTTTGGACATAAACGCCGCGTGCTGCTGCGGCCCGCAAGAATCGCCTGCGCCTGCTGTGCCTGCAGAAGGCTCAGACGAAGCGTCCAGCAGCAGCAGCAGCAGCAGCAGCAGCAGCAGCAGCAGCAGCAGCAGCAGCATTGTGAGCAAGGCAGCTGTGGACGAGGGGGTCTTCACCACACAGTTTTATTGCTGCCGAGTTGCTGTGCTGCCAGAAGGCCGAGTTGCTGCTTGCTGCGGCGGCAACCGCAACCAGCTGAGGTGGTTTATTCAATTCGCTGTTGCTGCTGCTGCTGCTGCTGCTGCTGCTGCTGCTGCTGCTGCTGCTGTCTTTGGCTCTGCTGGCGCCCACAGCCTTCTCTTTGTGCTTCTTTTGCCGTTTCGTGCTTAAAGAATTAAATGAAACAAAACACAACTCAGCAATCAAAATAATATTTAAATTTTGAACTATTTGTATTTTGTTTTGTTCCCATTTCATTCTTATAAACAAAATATCTTTTATCATTTAAAAAATTTGTCATTTAGCATTTTGCCCAAAGCCGCAGCAGCAGTTTGCTTCTGATGCGCCCCTAGCTGCTTCTCTGGGAGGCAGGTCCTAGCTGCTGTTTGCTGCAGCTGCTGCTGCTGCTGCGTCCATTGCTGCTGCTGCTGCTGCAGGACGTATTTCTTGCCAGCTGGGCTGGAAACGGCAGGCCCAGGAGCCGCAGCAGCCGCAGTCAGCAGCAGCAGCAGCAGCAGCAGCAGCAGCAGCAGCAGCTGCCCCTGCAGCCGCAACGCGTTTCATCTCTTTGGCCTAGAGACAGCGCAGCACCCGCCCCTCACTCTCGACATTTGCTGCGCTGTTCCTCCGCCTCCTCGCCCGAAGCAGCAGCAGCAGCAGCAGCAGCAGCAGCAGCAGCAACAGCAACAGGCAGGGGGGCCGGGGGAGCCCCGCATCAAACACAGCATCATCACTTCTTTCATTATGAGGGCCCCCAAGCAGCAGCAGCAGCAACAGCAGCAGCAGCAAGAGGAAGAGGAAAAACAAGAAGCAGCAGCATCAGTCATTTCAGGAGTGCTGCTGCTTGCAGTTGAAGGGCAGGTCAGTTGCGCGTCGCTGCTGCTGTGGCTGCTGCTGCTGCTGCTGTTTTGCTGCTGCTGCTTTTGCTGCTGCTGCTGCTGCCACTACTGCTGCAGCAGGGAAATAAATGTGGCAGTTCAAGCAAAAGGTGCAGCACAGGGGTCCACAGCGGGCACAGGCCCGCTGTAGAGAAGCACTGCCTAGAAGTTGCTGCTGCTGCTGCTGCAGTCGCTGCTGCTTTCATTGCTGTTGCTGCTGCTGCTGCTGCAGATAGCTGTTTATGGAATTGTTGCTGGCCCATCAGATTTGAGCCCAGAGTTCTCTCGACTGCGGCAGCAGATGCAGCAGCGCCGCTACGAAGAGGCTCTGGACGCAGCAGCAGCAGCACGAGTGCTGCAGGCTCATGCAGCAGCAGCCGCTGCTGCTGAGCCTGCAGGTGCAGCAGCAGCAGAACGCAAAGGGGGAGCAGCACATGAGAGAGACGACGACGAGAAGGTGCGGTCCCTTGTGTGCTGCTGCTGCTGCTGCTGCTGCTGCTACTGCTGCTGCTCGCTGCTCGTATTGTGCTGCTGCTGCCAATTGAATTGCTGCTGGTGCTGCGCTGCTGCAGGATGACGATAAGGGCCTGCCGACTGCCTTACAGGGACTGAGCGGTGCTTGCTAAACAGCGGCAGCAGCAGCAGCAGCAGCAGCAGCAGTGGCAGCAACCGCAGCAGCAGCTGCAGCACTACTGGGGTCCCTCAAAGAGCAGTGTAGAACTGCGTAGGCACAGCAGCAGCGGGTCACCTGCTATTGCTACAGCAGCAGCAGCAGCAGCTGTTGCTGCTGCTGCACTCTCGGGAACTTCTCCGTTTCACTTTGTTGCTGCTTCCTCTGTTCCGCCTGCGCTGCCTCTCCGTGGTATTCGTCTGCTGCTGCTCTCTTTGCTGCTGCTGCTGCAGCTGCTGCTTCTTTGTCTCAGTCCTTGCTTGAGTCTTTTTCCGTCATGTCTTCTTTGCTGTTTCAGTTCCGGTCTATGGCTGCAAAGTAGCTGCCCTTTCGGCAGCCCCCGCTGCTGCTGCTGCTGCTGCAGGGCTGCTGCTGCAGGGCTGCTGCTGCCGCTGCTATAGGGCTGCTGCTGCGGCGCTGCATGCAGCCAAGCAGATGCGTGGGGCTCCAGCTGCTGCGCGCTTTTGCTTACGGGCAAAATGGCTACGCTCTCGCGGGTGCTGCTGCTGCTGCTCCCGCTGCAGTGAAGGCGGAAGCAGCAGCAGCAGCAGCTGCTGCTGCAGCTGCTCTTGATGCTGTTCTGCAGTGTACGGACAGCACAACTACTTCTAAACCCTTCTACTCATGGGAGCTGCGCATCACTCTAATTTATTTGCTGTTACGTTGCTGCAGCTGCTGCCGCTGCAGCAGCCACAACGCAAAAGCAGCAGCAGCCTGCTGCAGTTGCTGAATCTGCTGCCTACTCTTTGCCTCCCAGGCTCGCTACTTAGCCAAGGAGGAAAGCTGCCTAGCTAGATAGCAAAGCCAGCTAGCTAGCTAGCTAGCTAGCTAGCTGGCTAGCGGACAAGCTGCAGTAGCAGCAGCAGCAGCAGCACTTTCCTAGCTGCTGCAACCTAATGAAACATAACTACAGAGGAGCAGCAGCAGCTCGCCTGCTCCCGCCAGCTCGGTGCCGGCTGCGTGGCTGAGCAAATGGGTTTCGGCTCCCGGGCACTTGCTGCTGCTGCTGCAGCTGCTGCAGCTGCTCCTGCTGCTGTAGCTGCTGCTGTTGGTGCTGAGGCTGCTGCTGCTGCGCAGGCAGCTGCGCCTTTCCTGCAAGGCCAGGCCACCCCAACTGCTGCGGCTGCTGCTGCTGCTGGGATTCGACCGGGTGCTGCAGGTAGTGCTGTTGCAGCTGAGGCAGTGGTTGCTGCTGCTGCGGAAGCAGCTGCTGCGATGACAGCAGCTCCTGCTGCAGCTGCAGCGGAGGTCGGTACTGCTGTGGCCATGGCCCCTGCAAATTCAGCTGCTGCTGCGGCTGCTGGTACGGCACCGCAGGCTGCTGTTGCGGAAGCTTCTGCTGCTGCAGACGTTGAGGCTGCTGCTGCAACTGCTGCAGGCCTGCATGGCCCATGGGCTGAAGAGGCTGCAGAGTCTGCTGCTGCTGCTGCGCCAGTGCCTGTGGGTAGGCTAAGTCTTGTCGCTGCGTGCGGAGTTGCTGGTGCAGGAGCTGCTGCTGCAGCTGCTGCTGCTGTAGCTGCTGCTGCTGCAGCTGCTGCTGCTGTAGCTGCTGCTGCTGCAGCTGCTGCTGCTGCAGCTGTAACTGCTGCAGCTGCTGCTGCTGCAGCTGCTGCTGCTGAAGTCGCTGGCGGCGACTCTGTTGTTCCTGCAAGTACTGCGGCTGCGTCAGCAACTGCTGCTGCAGTAGCTGCTGCGGCAGATGTTGCTGCTGCATCTGCTGCAGTGGCTGCTGCTGCAGTAGCTGCTGCGGCAATAGTTGCTGCTGCATCTGCTGCAGCGGTTGCTGCTGTTGCAGAGACTGGCCAGACGAAAAAATCTGGGGAGAAAGAGCCCCTGGCTGCTGCAGCTGCTGAGAGAGAAACGGTCGCTGTTGCTGTTGCTGCAGCCTTTGCTGCTGCAGCACCTGTTGTACTGGCTGCGGCAACTGCTGCTGGACGGACTGTGGCTGGTGCAGCAGCAACTGCTGCGGCCGCTGTTGCTGCTGCTGCTGCTGCAGCAAACCTGGAGAATGGATCTGTTCCACAGGGTTGACATTCTGCTGTATCGTAGCAGCCGCAGGGAGTCGCTGTTGCCGCTGCTGCTGCTGCTGCTGCTGCTGCTGCTGCTGGAGGTGGGCTTGCATTCCTGCAGCAAGAGCTGCCTGCTGCGCAGAGGCCGCTGCCCAGGGCTCGAACGGGGCCTCAAGAAAGGCCCCCTGGGGTGCTGAAATGGCTAAAGGTTGCTGTTGCTGCTGCTGCTGCTGCTGCTGCTGCTGTTGGAAGGCCTGTTGGTCCTCCTGCTGCTGCGGGTAGTGGCGGTGCTTTTGCTGCACAGGTTCCAGCTGCTGGTCGAGATACTGTGGTTGCAGCTGCTGCTGCATATGCTGCTGCTGCTGCTGCAAGTGTTGCTGCTGCTGCTTCGCTAACAAACTGCCGTAATGACTCCCGTGAAGAGCTGGGTTGTCGTCAGTTGCTTGTGCTTGCTCGTTTAGTCCCGTTGGCGCCCCTTGCTGTTGCTGCTGCTGCTGCTGCTGCTGCTGCTGCAGCTTCGCAGCAGCGCCTTGTGCCGCTGCATCGGGAACTGCAGGCCAGTGCTGCTGCAGCTGCTGCTGCTCTGCTGCATCTGTCAAGTCTGAGTCTCCCGCTGCTGCTTCTTCATCCCACCATGCGTCTCCCCAGTCCATTAAGAGCCTTCCATCTTTTGTGTCTTCTGCTGCTGCTGCTGCGGCAGCAGCAGCAGCAGCAGCAGCCTTCTTTCGGCTTCTGTACTTGCGCGCGGCCTCCTGGTGCTGATCCTTGCTGCCGTGCGCTGCTGCAGCTGCGGCGCACTGCTGCGCTGCAGCAGCAGCACGAGAGTCACCGGAAGCAGCAGCAGGACCCAAGGAAGCTGATCCTTGAGAAATCTGAGATTCTTCAGATCCTTCAAAAGGTTCTAAAGGATCGAAAGAGACAGAGCGTTGCCAGGACTGCGTTGGCCAGCCGTCACCGTCTCCCGGCTGCTCCTTCTGCTGCTTCTCCTTGTCGCCCTGCTGCTGCTGCAGCTGCTGCTGGAGCAGCAGCTGCTGCTGCTGCTGCTGTGCGTCTGTCGAGAGCTTCGACCCCCGCTGCTTCTGTTTCCGCTGCTTCTCCTTCTTTTGCTGCTTCGTCTCATGACGGACAGCTGCATGCGGCTTCGAAAGCTCCCACCAGGGCTCGTCCTCCATTTCTTGCTGCTGCTGCTGCTGCTGCTGCTGCTGCTGCTGCTGCTGTTCGTTTTCGTCATCTGGCGGCTCGTCGGGGAGGCGCAGGGGGGCTGCCCAGGTGTTGCGCTGCTGCGAAAATCCAGAGGCAGCAAATGGCGTTGCTGCTGCTGCTGCTGCTGCTGCACCTCCAGAAGCAGGAGACCGGAAGTGGAACTCAAAAGGGTCGCCATCTGCTGCAGCAGGAAACTGAGGAGCATCAACAGCAGCAGCAAGCTTCTCTCCCGATGCTGCTGGAGTTGCTTTCGTTGTCACGGGTGCAGACTCTGGGAACTGCACCCGGAACGAGCGAAAGGGGATCTCCGGGGTTGCTGCTGCTGATGCTGGATCTGCTGCTGCTGCTGCTGCTGCGTCGCTTGCTGCTGCAGCATCTTCTGCTGCTCCCGCTCCCGTGCTTTCGCGTTCTGCTCCTCCTGAGTCCCGGTGGCTCTTGAAGGGCCAATAATGTGACAGACGCTGCCGCTCATGCTGCTGCTGCTGCTGCTGCTGCTGCTCCTGGCTATCGGCGCCTGCACTCCCTTGTGCTGCCTGCTGCGCTGCAGCAGCAGGTTGTTCAGGCACAGCTGCAGCAGCAGCAGCCCCCGAACTGCTGCGTGCTTCTGTTCCTGCTGCATTGTTGCCGCTGCTGCCCGTGTTGCGGCGCAGCCGGAAAGGGAGAGAGAACAAAGACTTCTTCGCTTCAGCATCAGGCTGCTGCTGCTGCTGATGCTGAGCAGGTGCAGTTGGCTGCTGCTGCTGCTGCTGCTGCTGCTGCTGCTGCTGCTCCTGCTGCTGCTGTTGCTGCTGCTGCGGAGGAGTCGGTGTCTGCTCAGGCTGAGCTGGAGAAGTCTTCACGCGCTGTTTTTCGGGGAAGGGATTAAATGCGCTGAACAGCTTTTTCGAGAGGTGCTGCTGCTGCTGCTGTGGCTGGTGCTGCAGTGGTTGGTGCGACAGCTGCTGCTGCAGTGGCTGCTGCTGCTGCTGGTACTGTGCTGACTGTGGAGAAGTTTGCAGCTGAGGCTGCTGCAGCTGCTGAGGCTGCAACTGCTGCTGCTGTGGCCACACAGGCTGCGGAAAGTGCTGTTGCTGCTGCTGGTGCTGCTGCTGCTGATGCTGCTGGTGCTCTTCGGCAGGAGGAAAAGGACTGCCAGACACCCGTTGCTGCAGCAGATGCTGCTGCTGCGGAAGCTGCGGCTGCTGTAGCTGAGTCAGCGGCGCTTGCGAGGGCATGTTGAACGGACCAGGCTGCTGCTGCTGCTGCTGCTGCTGCTGCTGCTCCTGTAGGTTGCCAAATTGCTGCTGCGGGTGCGGATGGGCCCGTTGGTGTTGCTGCAGCTGCTGCTGCGGATACGAAGGGACCTGAGGGTGTTGTTGCTGCTGCTGCTGCTGCTGCTGCTGCGGCTGCTTGAAGACAAACCCTCCAACTGGTCTTGGCTGCCAAGTTGAAGGCCGGCGGGGAGGCGGCCAGTCTCCTGCTTCTGTTTCTAGCTCAGCTGCTGCTGCAGTTTGCGTTGCTGCTGCTGCAGGCGTTCTGTCTTCTGCTGCTGCTGCCGGCGTTGCAGCATCGACCCCGCCCACTGGCCACTGAGGGGCTTGCTCCTGCTGCTGCTGCTGCTGCTGCCGCTGCAGCAGCTGCGGCTCCCGCTGTCGCTGCTCCGCCCTGTGCCTGCGCTGCTGCGTCTGCTGCTCTTCCTGCTGCATGTGAAGCAGCTGCTGCTGCTGCGAGCTGCTGCCACTAATAGGTCTTCGGGCCGAGCCAGCGGGCTTCCTGCTAGCTGGTGTCGCCTCAGGGGCTTCCGCAGCAGCAAGAGAAGCAGCAGATGCAGCAGCAGCAGCAGCAGGAAGCGCTGCTTCAGACTGCCTCCGCCGCGCCTGCCCTGGAGTTGCTGCTGAAGTGGGCTCTGTTGGAGAGCGGGGTTCGTCTGCTGCTGCTGCTGCTTCTGCGCGATTTGTAACTGTTGCAGCAGGTGGCGAAGCTGCTGCTGCTGCTGGTAACGCGGGAAGCGCTGCTGCTGCTGCTGCTGCTGCTCCGAGTGCAGCCGTCGCGGCAGATGATGGCGATGACGGTGGCGGCGGTGCGGGGGCTGGAGGTGGCAACGCTGCTTCTGCTGCTGCTGCTGCTGCTGCTGCTGCCTGACGCTGGGCGTTCACGTACCCTTGCTGCTGCTCATCAATGAGAAGGCCACCTCCTGAACCCTGCGTGCTGCCAGTTTGTGTGTCGGCAACGATATGATGTGCAGCAGCAGCAGCAGCAGCAGCTGATGGAGTTCCCGTTGCTGCAGCAGGAGCAGCAGCCACCACAGGACTGATGCCCACAAGATTCGCCATCCCAGGCAGCAGTAGCTGTTGCTGCTGCCCAATGCCCGTAGATGAAGACGCAGTTTGTAGTGTCTGCTGCTGTTCAACTGACTGCTGTTGCTGCTGCTGTTGCTGCTGCTGCTGCAGCTGCAGTTGCTGCAATTGTAACTGCTGCAATTGCAGTTGTTGCTGCTGCAGTATCTGCTGCTGCTGGTGCAGCTCGGGCAATCCCTTTGCAGCCTGTTGAAGCAGCAGTTCCCTCTCAGCATGGGGCAAGTCAGCAGCAGCAGCAGCAGCAGCAGCAGCAGACCGTGCTGCTGCTGCAGTTGCCGGATCTCTACAGTGAGCAGCTACATCGGCGTAGAAAAGTGCATCAAGGGCAGCAGCAGGATATGAAGGACGGGGCTGCGGCAAAGGCTGTTGCTGCTGCTTCGGAAGCTCTTGTTGCTGCTCCTGTTGTTGCTCTTGTGGGTGCTGTTGCTGCTGCTGCTGCGCATTCGGAAGCAGGGACAGGTCCTGCTGCTGCGAACTTGGGAGCAGGGATGGCTCCTGCTGCTGCTGGTGCTGCAGCGTTAGCTGCTGCTGCCCCGATGGTGCATGCCGCTGCAGCAGCACTTCCTCCTTTACTGGCGGCTGCTGCTGTGTTGCCAACTGCACCTGCTCCTTTTGCTGCTGCTGCTCCAGAGTGAGTTGCTGCTGGGGAATCGGTTCGTGCTGCAGCAGCTGCTGCTGCTGCAATCCCACCTGCTGCTGAGATGTCCCTTGCTGCTGTAGTGAGGGTTCTTGCTGCTGTGTCAGCGGCTTATGCTGCTGCACAGACAGCTGCTGCTGCAGTGACTCCTCCAGAAGCTGGAGCTGCTGCAAGCTGTCACTGTTGGCACTTAACGGAGTCAGAGGGAGGTGGTCGGTTTGCTGCTGTTGCTGCTGCTGTTGCTGCCCTTCCGAAGAGTCAAACAGATCCAAAAGGTCCACAGTGTAGTTGCTAGTTTTCTGCTGCTGCTGCGCAGCGACAGCACCCGCTCCTGCTGCTGCTTCTGGCGTTTTTGCTGCTCGGCCGCTCCTTGCTGCATTGAGTTCTTGGCTATTTGCTGCTGGCTGCTGCTGCTGCCTCTGTCTGCGCTGCTTCTCCCTCGGCTCCCCACCCGCCGCTAAGGGCGGCGCACCAAGAGCACTTGCGGCTGGGGAAGCAGCAGAAGCTCCAGCAGCAGCAGCAGCAGCAGCCTCAGCAGCAGCAGCAGCAGCAGCAGGTATTACGGGCACAAAGCGGAAACCCTCAACTACCAAAATGCCGCTCTTTCGGGACTTGTGCTCCAGAGGCAAACGACTGACGCTGGTCACTTCCTGGGGAATGAGGCAGCAAGCCAAGTAGGCCACTCCCACGCATTTGTCATCTTGCTGCAGCGCAGCAGAACACAAAGCAGCAGCAGCAGCAGCAGCAGCAACAGCAGCAGCCAGGCCTAGATAAAGGGCTCCTCAAGTGAAAGCACAAAAACGCCGGTGCATACAGATAGAAATGTCATGGGGAAACACAGCGGCTGCAGCAGAAAGTGCAAAGAGCAGCAGCAGCAGCAGCAGCAGCAGCAAAGGGGAAAAAAAGCAGCAACTGCACAAGCCCAGGAGCTGGAGAGCACACAACGGCAGTAGCCACAAACAGAAGCAGCAGCAGCAGCAGGGGGCAGCAGATGCAGCAGCGGGAGGCACAACCAGCGGCACATAGCAGCGCAATTAGCACTGCAGCAGCGAGAACTGCAGCAGCAGCTGCTGCTGACCACAAGCCTCCTCCTCCACAAGGAAAACTTCAGCTGATTTCTCGGTGAGACCCCAAGAATGCCGCAAGTGAACTGCAGAGGCACAAGCGCTTTTGTCCCTGAGGATACCCCACAGCAACAGCAGCAGCAGCAGCAGCAGCAGCAGCAGGAGCACGAGCTGTAAGTACAGCTTCGAGCCCCCTGCTGCCAAGCCCGTGTTAAAAGAGTCCGCCGCTGCAGTGCAGCAGCAGCAGTCTCAAAGCCGCTTTGCTTCTGCCACCAGCAGCAGCAAAGCGGCTTTGCCCCGCCACCGCCGCCGCAGCAGCACCCGCAGCAGCAGCCGAATCAGCAGCAGCAGCAGCAGCAGCAGCAGCCGAATCAGCAGCAACAGCAACTCCCGCACACCACCCGCACCGGAGCATCCGCACCCGCACCCGCAGCACCCGCAACAGCACCCGCACCAGCACCCGCACCAGCAACAGCACCCGCAGCAGCAGCAGCAGCAGCAACAGCACCCGCAGCAGCAACAGCACCCGCAGCAGCAACAGCACCCGCAGCAGCAACAGCA